CACACGCAGCCCCGAGCATCCCTCCGCACGTGTCCCGTGCTCCCTGCTAGGCCTCTGCAGACCCCCGCTCCGCACCCCGCTTCTCAGGGTATTGCCACCCCCCTTGGGGTGCAGCCTTCAGCTCCCCGCTCTCAGGCTGAGCCCCTCTAGGGGCGGGGGGACAGGGCCCTGATGCTGCCAGGGCGCAGCCCCCAGCCTCACAAGGGCTCTCCTCAGGGTGAGGGAACCCACTTTGTCCCTCAGCTCGGGAACCTCCCAGCCGCCCGGTGATGGAGCGGGGTGTGGGTGCTTCCCCGGCGGGTTCCCAGCCTCTCTCTCCCCCGTGGCGTTGTAATTCAGGTAATTAAAACCCAACCCCGAATACGCAGGAAACCGCAGGCGCTGGAGGGAGGCTGACGGGGAAGCTGTGCTGAGCATCCCCAGTCTCCGGCCTGGGTCCTTAAAGCCCCAGGGCACTGAGGGCCGTGCTGGGAGGACCGTGGTGATGCGTGAAACGGGGGTCATTGTGCCGCCAAGCTCCCGCCGGGATGCAGGAGATGGCTCCCGCCACACCCGTCTCCATTGTGGGGTCCAGCCGGAGGCTGCGCCAGCATCACCCTGGTCTCCCTCGCCATGGCCAGTGTTTTTATTTTCGTGCTAATTCGGGTTTTCCCAGGAGCCCAGCGCGGCGGATATCAAAGCCGGGCTTGGCAGACACGGGGAGGTGGAGGGGCTGCGGGGGGCTCTGACCCACTCACCTGCAGAGAGGCTCCAGCCCTCCAGCCTGGGAAGCACAGGGGCTCTGCCCTGGTCCCCGCTGGCATTGAGAGCAAAACCAGTCATGTGTGCAGCCCAGGGGTGCATGCAGGGGGCCCATGGGTGCTGCAGGCTGCACTCTGGGGCAGGTGCAGGCTTGGGGGAAGGAGGTGAGGGCCAGCCCAGGCTCCCTGCTCTGTCCAGGGCACCCAGGGACACGGCTCAGCCCTTATCCCTGCCGGAGCATCCCTCAGGTAAGGAGCTGGGGTTGGGGCTGGTGCTGTGTGAAATGCTGGAGGCCAGGTGCCCCCCTGCCCAGGGCTCTGTCCTCCCTCGGCCTTGGTGACCCCCACAGGGCAGTGGCTCCACGTGCTGCCCCTCCCGAGTGCAGGTGTTTGGGGCTGGGAAGCGCTGGGGCAGCGGAGAGCATCGCTCCTCTCCGTGTCCTGGTGAGGGCTCTGTGTCTGTCACCCCCAAACTGTCACCGTGAGCTCCCATCCACACTTGCCTCCACAAGGGAGCAAGGATCAGTGGGTCCCCTTGACTGGGACATCACAAGGATGTGTGAGGCAGTGACAGGGAGCCTGTTGTGCCAGGACACCCCTCACCACAGCCTGCCCCCTCAGGCGTGACAGGGACCCGGGGCAGCAGTGCCTGGCACCATCTTCCCGTGCTGGCTCATGTTCCCTGTTGCTACCCAGTAGCAGGAGCTGGGATTCTCCAGCCCAGGGACAGCCCCAGTGGAGGGATGTGCTGTGCCACATGCCTGGCTGGCACAGGAGGAGCGACTGAGCTGCGGTTCTGCACTGCACCGCTGCCACCCGAAGCCACCCCCGTCCCTGTCCCCATCCCCGCTGGGTGTCATGGCCCCAGGATGGGCAGCACCTGCAGCTCTGTGCTGTGGTCCCCAAACCGGAGCCAGCCCAACACCAGGGCTCAGGACTGAGCTCTTGCTGGCAGAATCTGGGTCAGCACCATGTCCCCTGGGGTGGCTCCAGTGCCACATCCCCACACTGGGGACCTTCATCCTGCCCAGTGCTGGGGCAGGGCTGCAGCTGGGGAGTCCCACTGAGCCTGCAGGCCCCCTCCTCTAGCTGGGGGGTGATTGCCTTAATTAGAGTCATTTCATTTGTGCAATTAAGAAGCAGCAGTCGCCTGGAGAGCGCTGGAGTGACACATTGAGTCCCAGGGAACTGGGGGGTTGTTTGGTTTGGTGTCGTGGGCAGACTGGGGGGGTCCCCCTGCCTGGTGAGTCCTTGGGGATGAGGGCCATGGGAATAGCCACAGCCTGGGCAGGGATGGGAGCGTTTCTGGGGCAGCAGGAATGCAGGACATGCCCAGAGTGAGGCAGGGATGTGCTGCAGGTGAGACTGGGTACCAGGGAACCCGTGCTCCACCTCTGCCCATGCCCGAACACCTCTGGCTGCCCAGTCCCAGCTGGCACCTTTGGGTCCGGTGCCCCAGATTTGTTCTCCTGAGGGTGGCCTCCTCAAAACCAATGATTTGGGGACTGCCCCGCTGCCTCCTGCCCTGGCAGCATCTGAGTGCCCCTCTCCAGGCACGATGCTTCTACCCCAGATGATCCCTTTGGGGCACAGAGGGTGTCCCCCCTTCCCCAAGCCCTGTCCTCAGCTGGGCATGGGTGTGATGCTTCCCACACGGGCAGCAGGGCCCGTGGGTGCCGGGGGTGCCCACCCGCCACCGCACGAGGGATTCCTCAGGGCTGGCTGGGTGCCAGGCTCAGGGTTTGGCACAAACAATGGCAGCCCCAGCGACGGCTCCCCAGGGCCCCAGGGATCCT